ACTATGGGGCCTCATAAATGATCGGTTGCTGCAGCTCAGGGAGTTCAGAGGCTCCAGCTCCTGGTCAGTAAAAGGAGGCTATTAACACAGCTCTTCTTCCCTGGGAATGCTGTGGGACTTGGTTCACTAACATCTATAAAGCAAGCTTTCAGACTGCTGGGTGACAGGCCCAAGAGCCTCGCAGAGCATTTCTCTACTTTCAGACTTAAGGGGCAACAGCTGCCTCTGTCTCTCTCTCAAGGAAAAAGCCTGATTTTTAGCTCTGCCCATGCCTGATTCCCTTCCCAAAGCATCCCTTAGGGCCTTGGAAAGAAACAGCCTGTACAAAATTGCTAGGCTGAGACCCAAATCTTCTCTACATAGGTTTCTGTGGCTAAGTAACCTATAAGTGAATGGCTGCAGGCCAGCAGATCGTGCATTTGCTCTTCTGCTCCTGATATGCTTAAAGCACCTTGCCAACACAAGGGTCACCACTATAATCATCTAGTGCAGCAGTGGTCACTTCTGCTCCTAGACATGCATGCGTGTGGACAGGAGCGGGGAGGTCCGGCCTGGTCTTGGGATGTGCTGAGCCACCCATGGGCACTTGGCACCTCTGAGGTTTGCTGCTTATGGCTCAGACCTTGCACGGACCGTTTGCTTGTCCTCTCGAGGAAGGTTCAATACCACTCACATGGATGAGGACCTTGGCAAGATGTTCACGCAGGCAGCCAGCTTCTTATCCATAATGGCCCTATATCAAACACGGAGGGTTGGTGAGTAACAAAGCCACAGCTACCCCATCCCCATCACCCTCCTCTACTTTGCAGTGTAAGGCTAACCTTGGCAGAAGGCAGAGGAGAGATGAACCACCTAGATTGTGAATGGTTAACCTTGGACTGTTTTCTACTGCAAGAAGCCTCAACACCTGAGGCACAAGTTCGGGCTGTTTAATTAATCATTAAAAGAAAAACAAATGCTGACTTCCAGCTGTGGCCAGTTCGGCGTGGCTCCTGCTGGCTTAGCCTTGGCAAGGGCTCCTGTAGGCTGCTGCTCTTGTTCTCCGAAGTCCTGTTCACAGTGATGGACAGGACTGGCATGGTGCAGATGGCAGTCTCAGCTGATAACTAATGACCCCCTGCACCACCCTTACAGTGTTGCCCCCATTTTACAGGTAGGGACACTTCAGGCCTGCATTAAACCCTTTGGCTCAGGGAAGTCGGAGCTGGGAGAAGCTCCTGTCTTCTAGTCCTATGTTCACACATGAACATCCTGGAACTAAACGTGCAACATGTTGGACAGGGAACATCACGGAAAACAGCGGTGTCACCAAATGCTTCATGGCACCAACATTTTCGAAGCAAAAAGGTCATAAGAGTCTGAAACTCCAATCTGCTCCCTCCTTCCTCAAAGTTTCCTCCCTTCCTTGTGGACTAGGTTGTTCCCACGGCACTGCTGTGGGCTGCCAGAAGCGATACTTAAGCGATGAAAGGGTGTCGGAAGCAATCGAGGGGTGAATGCTAGAAGAGCATGTTTTCCAAACGCTATTTTCCAGTCCCAAGAGCCTCTGTCTGTTTGGGAAGGTCTGTTCGTGTCCCTTTGGCATCCTCTGCCCGAAACCCATTTGTAAACACCATGCTCTGAAGGCATCGTGCTCCTAGGCTTGTGATCTAGTGTGGGGTGGTTGGTTTTTTTTCTTTTCTTTTTTTTTTTTTTAAACTCTGGCCTCCTGCAGTGGATTTTATGTGCGGTGCTTTGGCAAGGCAAACGCACAACTCGCAGCCCTTACCTTGGGTCGAAGCTACGACCTTGACATTCCAGGAGGTAGGATTGAATTGTGCAAGACCTAACACTTCATGGGGCTGAGAATTAAAATTTCTTTAGCTATCGTTAACTATTTCAAACTTCCCCCTGCAATTGGAGAACACAAAACATTTCCGCTCCGGATAAACCGCAAGCAGATCGTTCTTGCCTCCAGTTTATAATACAAATTAGCAGGTTTCATAATACTCCAGTATTACTTACTGAATCTTTCCTCCTTACAAGAGGATTTTGTCATCTGCTGTGAAAGGCGGGTTCAGAAGAGTGTACATATGTCAGGATGTCCTGCCCCTAAAAGCAACTGGACCCTGTACAAATACGTAACAACACATGGAGACAGCCAGGCCAGGTTGCTAATACACAGTTATGAAATATAGGCCAACGTGACCCGCAAGGGCTATTTACGTAGCCTAAGTTCCCATTTGGATACGCAGAAGCTTTGTTTGAATCCTTCCTATTAGGCCTGCTTTCTATGTCTATTTATAGACCGGGTTTTCCATGCTCTGCAGCTAATGCCATAAGACAGGGGGCCCAGTACCATTATCCCAACCGCACAGAGCCACAGACTAGCCAGTGCTGCGGCATGTGGAAAGAAAAGGCTGGGTGCAGTGGGAACAGATGCAGGAATCCTGCATGCTACCCTGTGGGCAGCTGGTAAATCTGGAAAGGGGTAGGCAATAACAAAGAGTTTGGGAACCTCTAGCCTATAAAGTGCCAATCCACCCTGCCTTCTGCCTGACATGGCTGACTACTTCTCTCTGTCTTTTTAAAGGATCAGTTAAAGCTTTTCTGGCTCATACATCTCAAATATTTATTTTTCTATACTTCATAATCCATGTGGTAACAAAATTTTCTGGGAGATAACCAACCTCCAGACAGTACGGCAATGCAGTTTTCCATGCTTCACTTTTACGCTTGCTGACAAATGTTCAGACACGGGCGATTGGCACAAAAAAACCAACAAGTTGCATCTTCTCAGCGGGTTGTTTTTTTTAACAAGATGCTGGAATTTGCAACAGCATGTTACCCAGCTGAATAGTTTGCTTTGGGGAGCATAAAAACCCGACTCTCCGGATGTTTCGGTTCCGGGTGATTGCTCCTGAAATGAAAATGATAACACTGCACTTCCTAGAGGCCTGTGTATATAGTAAATGAATCTGTGCACAAGGCAGTACAGTGGGAGAAAGCTGGACGTCCAGCTCTTTTTTGCCACGTAGTCCCTTAAACCAGGCTATGGTACAAAATCCAAAGATCTTGCATTATAAGCCTAATCCGAAGCCCAACAGGCTTCTTTTTCATTGATGCTAATGGGCTTTATATCCAGTTTTAGGTTAACTGACACATCTTACAGCAGTAAAACTGATCTCCTGTTCCCCTCCACTACAGTACATTAAACTTGAATCTATATTTTGATAAGTATTAGCATTGCATTAGCACTGACCTTTCTTTTGATGCTCAAAGGGACTCTTAAAAAGTTTCAGGGTGGGAAAAACCTACAGCAGGAACAGTCCCGATGGAGGAACAACTTGAGGAGTCACTAGCCTGGCAGCTCACTGGAGAGGATGCGGGGTGTGATGAGATTAGTGCAGTGGGAAGTGATTCAGAGCTGTGGATTTTAATAGCAGAAAGCCAAACAGCCCCTTGCAGCTGAAAGGGAGCAGCTCCATCCCGCTGCCTGCAGCATGCGCTATAATGGACTCGGCTGGAATTACTTAATGCATTTCTTTTGGATAGGAACTCAATAACTGGGAAAACAGTGCTTTTAATTAACATCAGATGGAAAGGAAAATCAAAGAAATCAAGCAAATTGTGTAGAAAGCAAGCCCTCAGCAGAGAATAGAGAAGGAAAAGGATGTCAGTGTGACATTCTGTCTTCAGATTTGGTGACATACAATCTCTTATTTTTCCAACTACAAACACTTGTTGTAACAGGGTCTATATAATGGGTGGGGACATGCAGACCCCGCTGTAGGGGGAAAAAATCAATTTTCTGTTGAAAAACTAAACACCTGGGAAAAGTTGGCCACTTACTACCAAAAATTAAAATATTTTCAGCCCAAATCCAAAATTTTCAGTTGATCAAGTTTTTCATTTTTCAGGGAGACATTAAAAAAAAATAAAAAGAGTTTTGGGACTGAGGTCAGGATTAATAGGAAAGAGGAGGCTGGAAGTTGAAGCCTTCTGTTAAATCACACAGCAGGCAAAGCATGAAGATAACAAATGTGTTATGAATCTTCTTGTTTCTGACCAGTACCAGCCAACTGATTGGGGCTGGGAAAGGAAGATGCTTTGTCTGTGGGCAGCCTTTCACCTTCCTCTGAAGCAGCTGGTGCTGGACACTGCAGAATTCAGGATCCTGGAAGAGAAGGGCCTCTGGTCCTACCCGATGAGCAATACCTTTACTTCTCAGCTTGACTTCTCTAACAACTCTGCTACAGAAAGAGCTCAAATGATGCATTCGATACCTTCCTGGTAAGCATGAAGTCACTGCCCTTCCAATAATCACTTAACACAGGAGTATTAGGAGGATTAGTGACTTACTATTCTTGGTGGCATTGCTGGTTCTCTCCTAATGAACAGAGATTATGGAAACCAGGGACGCTGGGGGAAATGCGTCTGTTGTAATGAGATGACTATGGGCTGTTGAAAACACCTGCAATAACGCATGATTTTTTGGGGCTGGTTATTTTCTCCTGGCCTTACAGGACAACTGACTTGGTACCTTACCCAGGCACAACGTTAAAAAGCAGAAGAGAATAGTGAGCGATGTGCACAAATACAAGGCAAAACTGAGGGCTGGTGGATGTTAAGTGTGACCAAGTTTTTGCCTTTCTAGTGGAGAACAATTGATTGATTAGTGCCAAAGACTTCTCTGGTTGGTGACATTTGGGCAGCTTCGTCATGGTTTGGGGTCTCGTCCTAAACAATGCAAATGATGGTCCCATCTGAACACAACTCTGCTTCCCAAATCAAATGCCTGCGAAGATGCAAGATTTACACTCTATAAAGATTGGGAGATTTCATTTCTAGGCACATGCATGCTTCATAGAAGATAGATCGGGCTAGAGCTAATGAGTATGCCCAAAGCCTGTGTTTATCAGCAGCTGAGCTCTCCCTGAAAAGTGTGAAACCTCTTTCTTCCCTTACAATCATTAGATACCTTCATTGCAACCTGAGCCTTGGAACAGGTACTCCAGCAGTCCCCAGAAGAGAGGAGGAAACACACTGCCACAACAAAAATGACAGATTTGGGGGAAAATAAACGTTGATCCATAGAACCAGTCATTACAACCTGTTGTTACCTAATTCAATCCCCCTGAACTCATTTGAAATAAGGAATAACAAGAAAAACATGAACAAAATGCATGTAGATCTTAGCAGTGGGTGTGCACTGCTGGGGGTGACTGCTTTTTTTTAGTTTTTCCCCCTCTCCCTTTCCTAACAGAGAAGGAACAAAGAGCAGAGCATGTCTGCAGAGCTATGAACACGATGTATTTTAAGGGACTAAATGATCTTTTCACTAGTGACGCACAGTTATCCTTTTAATCTCTAATACGTATCTTTATTTATTTCTCGAAATAACAGTCAGTGTGTTTTTTCTAGAGATTCTAAGATGCGGGTATTGAGAGCAGGCGTATCTTGAGGTATTAGATTGGCGGGAATTTCTTAATCGCTTGATGCATGCAAATAGGATCACA